GTCGAAAACATCACTTATCACTTCAAAGGTTTTTTTTCTCCTGCTGATGATAGCTCATCTCAATTGATTGGCCTCTTACAGTTGGTATGGCTACTTCCACCCTTTCATGTTCTCTGTATGTATAAATATCTTCTGTGTGTTCCATTCCATGCATCCAATGAAGTGGGCTGGAGCCCACGAAAGCTTATGCTTAAATAAATTTGTTAGTCTCTAAGGTGCCACAAGTACTCCTGTTCTTTTTGCAGATACAGACTAACACGGCTGCTACTCTGAGAGATGAGACCAGAAGTCATGGTCACCTAGGTCCCAGCCTAATGGATTTTTCCCATTGCTACAGGGAGTCTTGTTCTCTCATCCACAGTACAATGCCTGGCTTAGCAAAATGGGGTTGATTCAGCTGAAATGCATAATGTCCCGCACAATCTGGTACCCCTACAAACTCTAAACAGGGTCAGGCATAGAGAGAGTTTTGACTTCCACTCCCCTGCCCTATTAGACCTTGCATTTTCTCTGCTGTAAGTGAGAAGCACAGTACAGCATCTCCTTTGAGTATTATCTTAGGTCAGTGAGTGCCATAGCTAGAAGTGTGAACTCAAAGCTTGAATATTGCTGTTAGATTTGATTTGTTTGCTGGTACTCACTTGGTTTTACAGTAAGCGACCACACATACTATTCCAACCACAAGCAATGCAACGCAGATCCCAGTGATGGTTAAAACTCTCTTCTGATAGAGCTCTTCAGCTTCTGCAAAGGTTAGAAAAATATACTAATTAAAAACATACTCCAGTGAAAATAATGTGTTCTGAACACACAAATAGGAGCAGAATCCAACCCATGTAGACTAGTCATCAGCAGATCTCAAAGTGTTCCATGGTCCAGTTCTGATAAGCACCCAAAGGCTTGGATGATTATCCCAAACCTCCCCAAACACATCGAGATCTCCTACCATTCTCTCCTCCTCTTCTCATGGCTTCCTCCTTCAGCCCAGTAATCCCTCCCTTCTGCATCCCAGCAAACTTATCATTGGCCCCTCTCCTCCCCTATAACAGCTCTGTGACCTCTAGTCCATGATCTCCAATAGCCCCACAACTCTTCTCTTTCCTTTCCAGCAAATTCCCTAGGTGCCTTGCTAATCCAATAAACAGGACCCTGACCATACCCACTGAGACAATTAGGGTCCAGACACTCCAAGGGGAAAACGGAGGGTGTGAACCCCAAAGAATAAGCAACTGAACCAACTGGTTGTATACAATGTTATTGTGTATACAAATATGTCAAGTCAGGTCGTTATGAAAGCTTGTGATGTTCTAACTTGATGGTCCTTAGGAGATACATAGACAGACTGGGATTAGAAATGTATGTAATTATTAATCTAGACTACTATGCTTATTTCCAGAACTACAATTTCAAGCACACCTCACAACAGAGATGGGATCCTCTTAAACCAGTTGTTTACACAGAACTTACTTCAAGTACCCGTCCATTGTCCAGCCAGGAAGAGACAATGGTGGACCATTAGCATGAATGGGAAAACACTGAAACAACTTGAAATAAAAAAACAAACAAATCCCAGTCTTGGAAAACTGAGGCTAAGTCTACACTTAAACCACTATAGTGGGACAGCTGTACTGCTTCAGTGTAACTACCCCCTGCAATGACGAGGATGACCAGATGTCCCGATTTTATAGGGACAGTCCCGATATTTGGGGATTTCTCTTATATAGGTGCCTATTACCCCCTACCCCCATCCTGATTTTTCACACTTGCTATCTGATCACCCTAGCAATGATGGGAGGGGTTCTCTGGTCACTGTAGCTAACCCACGTCCCTGAGATGTAGTAGCTAGGTCGAAGGAAGAATTCTTGCATTGACCTACCGCTGTCTACACTGGGGGCTAGGTCAGCTTAACTACGTACCTCGGGGTGTGGATTTTTCACACCTTTGAGTGACATGGCTGGGTCGACTTAATTTTTTAATGTAGACCCAACCTAAGAGAGGAAGAATTTCCCCTCCACGAATCACCATAGTCTGAGAGAAAGACAAAAAAACTGCAAACCCTTAAGAGAGAGGGGTTTTGAAGTGAAGGACACCCAAAAACTGAGGACCAGCATCTAAGTGAAGTGCATGTCTTGGTCAGAGAGCATGCTGGGAAACTGTTCAGTGGGAATAGGTAACTTGTATTATAAAAGGGAAATTAGCTATTACAGACATGTAGAGACTGAGATTGTGCCTTTATGTTTGTTTTCTGGGTAACCTGAGATGGATTTGGGGGGACTTGGGACCAGAAGGGGATGTTGAGGTCACCCTTATGCTTGTAGGCTGGCTACTGGGAGATTCCCCACACAGGTTCAAATCCTACCAACTTTTTTGGGCACCACCCAGACCAGTAAGGGGTTCTGTCACTACCTGCCCTGTAATTTGGGGGGCCTAACGCTAGGCTACCATGGCTCAGAGCTCTGACACCAGTAGCCAGCCTATGAGTGTACTTTTTCACCCTGGCTTCCACCAGTCTAGTAATCCCTGGCAGGGTGACCTCAACAGCCCTTCAGTGCCAAGTCCCCCGAATTCTGTTTCCCCAAGTTCTTAACTACCCAACACTTAACTACTCGTCACCCCCAATGGAGTGAAACCAGCGCCCAGCTATCAGTTCACTTTGCCACACACACAACAGAGACCTGGTGGGAATAAAAATATTACAGAATATTGCCAGAACATTACAAGCTTTCATAAAAGACCTGACACAACACATTTTTATACACAGTAATATCAGATACAACCAGTTGATTCAATTGCTTATTCTTTGGGGTTCAGAACCTCTGTTCTTCTTTTGGGGTGTCTGGACTCCGATTGTCACATCCATCCTCACACATATATACACTGATCCTTCAATGGCCCCATCACAAGGTCCAGCATATCTCTCTCTGCTGGACTCAGGACTGCTTTTTTTCTTGCAGGAACTGCATGCTATAGGTCCTAGAGTTATTCCATAACCACAACATCTGATGCACAAAAGCACACAGATGCTGAAAGGAAAAACTTTTAAATAATCAAAGGTTGGGTGGGCATGGAGGAGAGGTGGTTTGGGTATTGGAAGACAGGGAGGGGACAGAGTATTGAAAATCCAGTAACCAATAACAGCAGTGGATTTTTTTAATGAAATCCTGGGAAGTAATCTAATTAATTTTTCAACCCAAACAGTAACACAGATTCATCTCAGTTAATCCTCTTGGCAATTGTGGTCCAGGAATGAGTTGTATCATGGGACACTGCATGGTCTCAACCACACTGTACAACTCACATACACTTGAGAAATTAAACTGAACTTCATCAGTGATCTAGTGTTTCTATTAAGATATGGCTGTAATGAGCAAGAGAGATCCATAGTTATTTGTAATGGAAGACTTTTCAGCGCCAATGAAATCAGTCACTTGCAACAGATTAACAGCACACTCTTGGAGAGAAGTAATTTATCCAAACTGATCAGGTCCATAAAACTGTTCAGGATGGAGTCAGGGGAAAAGCTAAGATTCAGATTGCCTCAACTTAGTTCAACCCAAATATCCTCAACCAATCACATGGCTAGGGGCATTTATTCTTCTTGTATGAATACAGTAGGCCAAGCTCTGCCCTCAGTTACATGGGTGCAGATTCACTGAAATCAATGGAGTAACTGGATTTCCAACTGCATAACTGAGAGAAAAATTTGGCCCACTATATCATCTTGTGAACCCAATGGGAGGGAGAACCATAAAAAGATTTGTACCATGAATAAGTCAATATGCCCCAATAGCATGTATTATTTATACAGCATTCCGGGTTGTTGGGGTTTGTCCCTTAATTAGCATTCTCTAGAACATTTTCTTATAGAAATTAGGCAAGAAAAACCCTGCTGAAGTTGTTAGGGTGGAATGTTCCACCAGGAGACACTAAGTGCCCTCACTACACTATATCTGGTATCCCCAGCAACTGCAAAGCTATAGGAGGTAAAACCAGAAGGAAAGTAAGAATGGCATCAGGTGCTAGGAATGCTAGAGTCATCTCCTGGTAGTAGGATAAAAAGTATTTAAGAAAAGGCTAAGAGAAAATAATTTGGGATTTGAGCCTGTCTTAGCCCACCACTTTTGGAAGTACCTAATATAGAAAAAGTTATTCTCTTTCTGAGGGTCTAAACAGGAGAAAACCAGCAGTAGTTACTTGAGAAGCCAGAGAGTGTCAAAATCCACCTGGTTTTGTTTCTTTTTATCAACGTGTAAAAATAAATCAGAAATATTTCACTTTGTTCACTGTGAACATTCGTTCTAAAGCAGTGATCCAAAAAGCGGGGGAAATCTCCATTCACTCTGCTCTGCACTGTGAAACTCTATGACACAGGCTGCACATGTCCTCCATGTTAAGCTTCTGCTGAACTGAACACGAGTTCTGGGTAGGGAATGAATGCAGCATACACAGCTATTCACACTGCAGGCCAGAGAGGAGACTTTTAGCATAGTCGTTATTACAGGTGACAAGAATAGAGAATTTCTTACCTATTCTGTCCTTTCTGCATCCTAGTTCCACCACTACAGGCATCTTCCTTCAACATTCATTAGAGAGGATGACATCAAGAATCTCCCAAGCTTTGGTGCCTCCATGTGCGTTCCTTGGCCAATACTGGGTTAGGGTAGCGTGTCCTCTGAGGAGCAATTCATCAAGTTCCTCCTCAACTGGGATAAAATTTACCCCTATGCAGACGGCCAGCCCAAACCTTCTTCACTAGCCCTAAAGGGTTAAGGTGGGACCTAAATGGTGCTGAGGTCCTGTGCTGACCCTTTGCACAGAGGTGATTTGTTTCACTTGTGATGCAGACTCATACTGATGATTTGTTGTTGGTTGTTGGAGCATGCGGTCTGATCTGATGTTCTCTGGCCTCCCCATTACATCAAATCATCATATGTCCTCTTTTGGGAAGAACTCACATTTGGATTGGGATGGTTAGCTCAGCTTTTTTGCTTTCCCCTTCCCTGTATTTTTGCCTGGTGGGGAACGCTGTGCATATTCTGTAGTGGTGGAAACATGGAAAGGGAGAGCCGCACCTTTCCACGCCTGGATTTCATCAGTATAGCCCCTTTCACTCAGTCAAACAGTCCAAGTTCTCCAGTTCAATCATGTTGTTGTTGGAATCATTAATGAAAATGTACATTCCATCTTGGGAGGTCATCAAACTTAAGAAATACAAGCGGGGCCATGACCTGACTGGAGGGGACCAAAGATTGGGAGATTTTCATTGTCAGCGTCTATAACTCCAGTGTGACTAATGGTGAAGGAGGAGCTACTGCACTGTCACAACTGATAGTACAAGCACAAAAACAACAGGGACGGCTAAAATAGACAAGAAGCATGATTTTATTTCGCTGAGGTGAGCAGTGCTCTACAGGCCTCAGGCATTGCTCACCTCACAAATAGGAAACATTACTCTTTTGAGCTGTCAGGACCAGCTGCCCCAATCTCAGAAATGCAATATAAACCTCCCTTCAGTGGATTTTGTGAACCAATTCTAGTTGACGTAATCAAATTTTTAGCATTTAATTTTGAAAAAAACAGCAAATTCATTTAGATTTTAGTCAGCTCTAAAAAATTATGGATGGCTTAACAAGATACCTTTGTGGATCTTAGTGTAGAGTTAACTCTATTTGGGAGCAGCTCAGAAAGTTCTGACAGTCTCTTTTTCACAGTTGGGATTATGAATTCCATACAGACAGCAAGCA